CCCCCCCCAGTTCAGCTTTATGGCAAACCCAAGGGCAGGAGGGCTGCCCTTCCAAATGTCCCCTCATCCCGTCTTGGGATCCAGCCCATCGCTCCTGCCTCCCAGGAGGGCCCTTTTCCCCTGGACACCGTTTCTCCAGGGAGCCCTGGGGTGATCTGCCCGGCCCCCGAGAGGCAGGGGCTGCTCTGCCTTCGCTGACCGCCCGTCCAGCTCTCCCCTCTCCGGTCCGTGGGCTGTGCCAGGGCACCGCTGCCGCCGCCGCTTACAGAGCCCTCCCGGAGTGTTTGTGTTACAAACGGAGCCTGTTCTGAAATTTCCTGCCCCCAGCCCTCCCCGGAGCAGGGAGTAAGAAGGGGAAGGAGGAGGAAAGCAACTCTTGCTCATCCAAAACATTTACTGTGAAAACACGAGGCTGGAAGAGGAATCGGTGAAACCATCAGAAACAGTTTATTGTTACAGCACACCACAGAGGTCACACACCACTCCTGGCTCTTCCTCTCAAGGAGACACAGTACAATCTGTTTGCTGCAGAGATTGGAAGAGGAAGCTGTTGGCAATCTGCTCCAAACTTTCCTGTTAGTTCAGTAAACGGCCTCTTCACTGTATTAACAAGCGCAAGGAGCTGCATTAACCCCCTCAGCACTAACCCCGCTCCCTCTCGGCGCCAGCTCCCCGGCCGGCAGCCACCGGGGCCGGCACAGCCTTGCCGCAGCTTCCCCCAGGGATGGTGGGCTCCCGTCCCTCTTGCTGCCAGGACATCCATGAGAAAGAAAATGGGAGCACGGGGACGGCGGTGCGCTCTCCCTCCTCGCCCGTGGCGATGCAAGCCAACCCCATGGAAGCAAAAGCTGCGCTCCCAGGAAAGGTCCTGTCAAGACCTTATTGGGAGAGCCCAGCATTTGCTCCTATGAATTACAAATTAAATAGGGTAAAATGAAACCAGTCGACACCAGGCTAGCAACAGACTGAAGGAGCCTTGAAGGGAAAACGTTGCACACAAACGGTACAGACCCCAGCGTGCTGATGAAGACAAGGCTCGCTCTGCCGGAAAACGTCTGCACTGCAGCACGGCCAGGCTGGAGCGCGGAGCGGAGCACGCCGAGAGACAACCAACATCCCCAGAGCAGAAGAGGACACAGCCCGGTCCTGTCTTAGCTCCGGCTGTGAAACCGGGGTGAAGGGTTTGGCTGTTCCAAACGCTGGCCAGGGTAACCGGCGCACTCGGCCCAGGGCTCGGGTTAAACCCCTTCTGCCAACCGCAGAGAAAGTCGGCTGGATGCTCAAGTGGCATCGCTTAGCAAGCGCGGGTCCAAGGCTTGTGGGACCCCGGCTTTGTTGTGAAACGTTAATTAAGAGAGGGTGCAGTGGGACTGAAAACAAGGCAGCTCCAAAGTGCCTTGAGGGTTCGGCCCCAGGCCCTGCTCCTTGCGGGAGGACAGGGATGCCCCGGCCAGTCTTTGGAACGAACGTAACAAATGGAGACGGCCCGGAAAGCAGGACTCAAAACCCGAGTTGCCGCTGGCCCCTCACCGCACGGAGAGCAGCGCAGTCTCTGGGATTACTTAGTATTGTCTAGCACCAGATCACATATCCCCAAAGGCAGTCACTAGAAGTCTCCAAGGACCCTCTGGTCCTTCTTCTGCTATCACAGAAACAGGGATTAAGGGTTGTGTCTTCAAGAATGTGATAAATAAAGATCTGCAGTGTCCTGAAGAGCATCTGCAAGCTGGCAAGTAAGCTTGCTTCCAAGAACAGCTAAATCTGCCCACCACCTGGCTGGCCAGGCAGCTTTCCAAACACTTCATCCTCCGTGCCGACCCGAGCACCCTGCTACACCACGCCAAGCACCAGACCGTCCTCCACAGCGCGGGCTCAAACTCTCCCCTCTACTTACTGAGCGGAGCCTTGGGAGTGTTGATTTAAGAAGCTTCGTGCCTCACGTCTGGTACAGAACGAGCCTCATGTTTACCCCAGCCTGACCTTTTCTGTCTCCGACCTTACGAGGAAATCTCAAACAGGAGCTGACAACCGGGGCTGAGATCGATTCTGCTTCATCTGAACGTTGCAAAGGTGAACTCTGACGATGGTGCAGAGCCAACAAGGGACGACTCCTGGCTTGTAACGTAGGCAGAAGACTCCTTGCTGTAATTTTAAGAGGCTCATCAGATTCCTGCCACCCCAGGTCTCACTCAGCACCACGGGTTACCAGAGGCAGGCAGGCAGAGCAGGATCTGAACGGGAACCGTTACTGACCACCTCCGACTCACACCCGGCCAGAGGCCAGCTCTTCACCTCACGTGGAGGTCGGGCTTTTCCCCCGATCAGCGCCGCTGCCGGCAAATGCAAAGCCCAGCAATCACTCCAAACTCCGCTCAGTGTGACACCCTCACAGGTAAGCTGGTTTGACACAAGGCTGACAGGACCCTTCTCACGCCGTCGCACAAAGTGTTGGTACCCGCAGCTCAGGCTTGCTGCCTTCTTCCAGGCTGCCCACACTGTCCGTGCCCCTTCACAGCCTCGCACACGCCAGGCAGTCCGATTTTCACGAGGTCAAGAGACACCGGCAGCCCTTGCACAAACAGAATCAAGAGGAAAAGCGAAGGGACCGAGAGGAGTGCAGACACCAGGGCGGTCTGGAGGGCTCCGAAGGGCAGTGGCTCGTTCTCGCCCAGCCCGATGCCCAGGACAGCCGTTTCAAACACACGATCCCTCCGAGGGTGGGATTTCCTGGGGATTCAGTCAGAGCAAAGGCAGATTTACCACTGAAATCAAACCTAAAGAAAGCATTTGGCTTCGGAAGTTTTAGAGGAGTTGTTTAATCCCGAGACAGCACAGCTGAGTGAGTTCAGAATTTAAGTTACAAAAAAAGAAAGCACTAGAAAATAATCTTGATACAAGAGCAATAATCAGCTGAGGTTCCCCACCCTGCACAGGGAATCCTGCTCCACAATCCGCCCAGCACAGCTGGGATGCTGCCAAGGCATCGCCTGTTCCCAGCACGTGCTGGGATGGCAAACTGTCCTGGGTGAAAGTTATGTGGGGGAATCCCCAGAAGTGGGAGTTAAGATGCTGCCACCAGTTCTGGTTTTGGCCTGTTCTTGACGGGTGACACTTCTGTGGGAAAAAAAGAAACTTGTTACAGAAACAGAGAATGCAAATAGTCTCCAATCACCTCCTGCAGAAGAACTAGGGCTCGTAATCCACTGCTCCATAGAGCCACAAATGCTCGCACAGCACCTGGAAAGTCACTGAACTAACAGAAGTTTGTTATAAATAATTCCACGTATCCAGTACGCCCCTCTCTTTCCCAGCACCTGAAGAATTAAAACAGTTTCAGAGCGTTCCCAACACAACCTTAGTACGCCACCAGCCCAGCGACACAGGCCTAGGGCAGCGAGCGATTTCTCGGAGGGCAGACAAGCTTCTCCCCTCATGAGTCCAAACGAGGCTCAGTCAGCTGCACACAGCAGGGCCAGCTTGTATTTTGTTGGGCCACCCTGCTGCCAACGAACAGAGATGACATCTGATCCATGTTTACTAGCAAACAAGCACTAAAAAGAAACCAGCCCTGTTCCCCACGTCCCAGATTTCTCCTGGGCAGACTCCACACAGAGCAAATGGCTTCTTACGGCTCCCGGTTTCCACCGGCAGGGAAGTCCAGCTTCCGCGACCGACGGTTCGGTGTTCTGCTGTCCCAGGAGACAGACTCTTTACCGGTTTGCCTTCTGGCACCCAGCTGGGCCCAGCTCTACCTCGCGGTTTGTCTCCAAGGACGGGCTCCACCTTCAGCTCTTCAGCATGGACAGACATCTGGGAACGCTCTGTGAAGCTCCTTCCTCACCAGGCCAGCAGTGCCCATTTGGTCACTCCGCTTCATCAGCTCTCTCCCGCTTCCCTCTTCGCACCCAGCTGCACAAACCCTGCCGCTGAGGGTTTGGATCGCTCGGGAACAAACACGCATGTAGCATCAGTTGCGTGGAGCTCGCGCTCCAACAGTCCTGGAATTGTGGGACCGCAGCGATCCTCATCCAGCCGGTTCCAAATTACCGTTGTTATCTGAAGCAAGGTCGCAAGAGCTACGAGTCATCACGAGGCCCAGTGAAATCCACTTCTGTGCAGTGCGAATGCCAACATTCGTGGTCACCAGAAATTGTTCCTGCGTAGCAGCACGTTGTGACGACGTGCCGGGGAGCAGCTGGAGCGTCG